TGTATCAAAGGAGTTCAAATGTAAATTTTAAACTTGTATGGTGGAATCTACCATTTGCTCAGCATTTATAGCGCACTTATAGTAGATACTGTGAGAGGTACAGGGAAGACTGTGAGCCCACAGTTGGATGGGAGAGACAGACACAAGCAGGAAATGGTTTAAGAATATGTCCTGGATGCTAGGAAGCATCACAGAGGGGTGGCTCTTCCAGTTTGGGGAGTCAGGTATAGCTTTCAGAAGGAGGAAGTGGAACAACCCTACCTTGTTCCTCTTACTACTTAAGGCTGGGATTGCCTTTCTCAGGCATGCAAGAAAAAAAAATAATAAGTTTTCATTTCCAAAGCTTGCTTTGTTTCAGTTTTACCAAGTCTCTTGGCTTTAATAAGATAATTAAAGAAATGGGAAGCTGCCCTCATCCTTCAGACGACCCAGGTGTGAAAACTGATTAAACAACACCTAACAAACTCAATCGACCCTTGCTGCTTCAGCTGATTCTCTCAGTAGAAATTCATCCTACAGTCTCATCACTAAATGAGTCCCACAACTGGAAGAGGTTTTATCCCTGCTCTACATGCAGCTCTTTTCTTTCTCAGCTGCAGGTGAGATACTGAGACTTGTCTCGGCTGGTGAATAACTGAATAATTTGGAAAAGACTTCACTGTTTTTGGCCTAAAGGTCCTTAGTAGTACTGATATTACTGGCTATCACTAATAAACCTTCAAAAAAACCTTCCTTGACTGTCATTTAAATTAGTCCTGTCACACCATCCCGTTAACTTGCCCTTAAAAAAATTTTTTTAAACAACATTTACTGCTAAGAGTAAATCCTTACTTGTTTACTTTTTCTCATTTCCTCCACTGGATTATAAGCTTCATGAGAGGAGGGCTTTCCCCCCCGTTCACCACTTAGTCCACAGCACTTTTAACAGTGGTGGGTACAGGGTCAGTGCTCAATAATTGTTGAATGAATTTACTATTTATTGAGCATTTACTATGTGCTAAGATCTTTAAATCTATCTCCTAAGTTAATTCTCATACCAACCGTATAAGCTACATGCTCTTATTACATCCCATCTTGCAGATGACAAAATTGAAGGTTAGAATGGTTAAGAAATTTGCGCCAGGCCACTCATGGAAATGGCAAAGGTATGTATGGTCAGGCATGATGGCTCATGCCTGCAATCCCAGCACTCTGGGGGGCTGAAGCGGGAGAATCGCTTGAACCCAGGAGTTTAAGGTCAGCTTGGGAAACATAGCAGGACCCTGTCTCTACAAAAATAAAACTTAAAAAGTTAGCTGATGTGGTGGCTAACTAATGTTCCAGCTACTTGGGAGGCTGAGGCAGGAGGATTCCTTAGAACCCAGAATTTCAAGGTTGCAGTGAACTATGATTGTACCACTGCACTCCAGCCTGGCTAACGTAGCAAGACCCTGTCTCTAAATAAATAACAAAATAAAATAAACGGCAAAGGTAGGCTTCAAACCCTCATGGTGAAGCCAAAGTCTTGTGCATGTTACCGCTAGGATACAGCAATCCTTTTGTACACCCTGGATACTTCTTTGGAACAAGAATATTCTCACCAATATCCCATCATTTCATTGAGAATCTAGAAATTGAATAGGATTTTCTAAAATGCCACAGACACTCACAAAAGCTTAGTAAGAAAAATGACCAAGAAGAAACCTGGCAGCAATACTCAGCATCAAACTCACATATGGGGAGTGATGGGGGAGGAGAGGAAGAGAGGAGAATAGGGAGAGAGATGAGTGGATAGGAAAAGTTTCTCTTTTTTGGAAACTCCCTGTTTATAAATACTACTCTACTAAATTGGTTTCCCTACCTCCCTAAGGAAGTCATGAAGATATCATTTAACAGCATTGCCATGGGATTGGGGACATCAATACCAAATGAGCAACAATACATAACTCCTGCTGCTCTACGGAGCTGGGATCATGTTTTATAAACACTGCAGAACTTTTATTATCCATCTTTTGCTGAGCAAAACCATATTCATTCTGCATTCTGAGTAATGGACAGGAATAGATGGATTAGAGCCCTTAAGTTCTTAGTTGGAAGACATTAAGTTTAAAAGCCCTATATAGCTGAGTCAAATGCATGTGCCCATGCTGTATAATTAGCAGGCATAACAACAATAAATATATAATTTAAAGGGAAGACCAGCAGGACAAGAATTCTAACCAGCACTCTCCCTCCCATATGCAGTCATTCCCAGTTGGTCTTCAGCTGTGTAAACTGTAACCTTGCTGGCCTTGGGGTAATTTTAATATAACAAAGGTTTGGGCCACTCCATTTTGTTCCTCAGCAGTTTATGCTTCCCTCTGAAGCCAGCTTTCAGGCATAAGTAATTCATTGCCCCTCTACTAAACATTCATTTCACTTTGTCTAAAGGGACTTAATAAATCAGCCTGGTTATTGTTTAGTGTGGCCACCCCCTGGTTTTCATGTATAAAAAATGAGCATCCAGTTGCTAAGTGGAAGTGAATGGTCACCTCGCCTGCAAGTGAGTTCCCTGGAGACTTGAGAATGTACAGAGGGAGACGCTTTGGCTCTGAGCATCCAGGGAGCTTTGTTGTCTGCCACAGAGAATCTTGCTGTCTTGACTACCAAGGCTTAAGGAGAACTGTTTGGAAAGGGAAGTGGGTAAGGAAGAGGTTAAAACATGGAGTCGTGGCTGGGTCTGGTGGCCCACACCTATAATCCCAACATGTTGAGAGGCTGAGGCAGGAGGACTGCTTGAGCCTAGGAGTTTGGAACCAGCCTAGGCAACATAGCGAAACCCTGCCTCTATTAAAAAAAAAAAAAAAAAAAAAAAAAGAGGGAGGTGGGTCAAAAGCCCAACTTATAAAGGAAATCCCAAGGAATGCTGGCCCTAGATAAGAAACAGTTATTTGGTTGGAAGCCCTTTAGCAGAAGACACCTGTTTTCTAGCAGTTTCTGGCTACTTTGCATCTTCAGGGTGTCCTGGGCAGGTAGTTGCTCTTCCTTCCTTCAGTTTGCAATTAGAAAAGCTGAGAGAAGCTTCTCAATGTGCTGGGCACCTGCTCTGTGTGAAAGATGTGTTTTTGTTTTGTTTTGCATCTACAGTTCCGCCCTTATTCTTGTTTGTCTTATAGGGTTAGGTCATCAGTCTTTTCTCCTAGGAGCCTTTGCTTCTTCGAGTTCAGTTTGGGCCTCCCCTCAGCCAAAAGTATAGAATTCTTTCCCTCAGTTATGACAACTGGATGGAAATCCCCCTGCCCGCCACTTCCTGCCCTGGAGCTGGTGTTCCCAGTGCTGATGCCATAAACCTGAAGCACAGCAAGCAGCTGTGACATCATCAACTGAGATTCGGGACTGACCTTAGCTCTGACCTAAGAGGAAGAAAATTAACAAGCAAATGCTCTTCAATTCCCAGCATCTCCTTTGGCAGTGCCAGAATTTAAAAACAAAATCAATAAATGTCAAAGTAAGCCATGCTGGGTATATAGAGTGTCTTCAAAATGGGCCTAACATGTCAACTGTTCTCGAAAACCGAACAAGATCAAACTCACATAAGGGGAGTTATAGAGATCTTATGCTTATCTTATAGCATAAGATCTCAGAGCTATAGTCTAGTAAGAAAAACAAAACAAAACAACCCTCCCCCCCCCAAAAAAACTGTTTCTTCTCCACCAGTGGCTAAAACCTTAAAGGAGCCTACCTGAATTCAAATTCCAGTTTTGCCATTTAACATCAGTATAATGTTGGGCAGATTATTTTGCTGGGTACCTTGCTTTCCTTATCTGTAAAATGGGCATAATACTATACAGTAAGTACCTATCTAATAGGCTTGCTAGGAGTACTTGAGTTAAATATAAAGTGCTACGAACAACGATGACACATCAGGTGTTATTTTGCATTTCAGCTATTATGATTATGTTAAACCACATTTTGACTTCTTTTATCCCTTTCCATTTTATGCGCCCCAAATGACCTTCCAATCAGATTGTAAGACTGTTTAACCGTAATACTATTCTGAACAGTTTATGGTGCTGATTCCTGAAATTGAAGTCTCGTTGGCAGTTTGCAGTTGAATGCAATGTCACACCCCCCCCCAACATTGTCAGGGAATAGGTCAAGTGCTTTGCTTCCATCCTTTGCACTAAATCCACACCATCTTCAGAGAAGTGCAACTACCCAACGGTTCCTTTCCCAGATTTGACACCGTGCAGTTACCTATCCCTCCATATCTCTTCCCCTTGATGGGCCATCACACTTTTCTAGAAGCAACATTTAATACAACGTAAGGTTTTAACCAATGGCTCATTTGGTTGGTGACAGCTTGGAAAATCAGACCCCAGGAGACAATCTGTGTTACTTTCCTAGGAAAGGGGGTCAAGGGTTCCCAGGTTTCATCATTCCTGGTCACAACTAAGAGCGCACCACTACCCTTCCATCCCCCAAGAGAGAGCCTGACGGCTTCCTTCAATCCAGCAAAGCACAAGGCGCAGCCTCAGATCTTAGGCTTCCCACTCCCCTCCCCCATCTCACCAAGGCTCAGATCTTTAAGTTGGGACCCTTTGGCTACTGCCATTGGGCTGTGGAAAACTAGGGGGCGGAATCAGTCAATCTGCACAGCTGCTGGGGAAAGACAGCAACTAGAGACCTAGTCAAGCCCGGCAAAGAGCTACGGGGCAGTAAGTTTCACTTCAAGAGAGGTTCGGGAATGGCTTGGTCAAGAGGTTCAATCTCTCCCAATTAACGAACAGCCCCAAGATATTAGTCACAATGCCCCGCAGAACAGGGTGGAGATCATTCACGACTTTACCCTCCGAATATCAGTTACGCTTAGGGCAATCTCTGACAAGTGCCATTAAATGAACCTCATCCTCAGACCAAACGCTTTCTCCCAAGGTACTGGCACGGCCACCAGCTTTGTCCTAGGAAATGCACTGCCCCAGTAGCCCAGGGCGGGATTTCTCGCCTACCCCCGTCTGCCAGTCGGAGGCCTGCGCTCTTACCATTGGCGTTCTTGCCGCAGATAAGATGCTCATAGGGCTGCAAGACGCCCCAGAGCTCGGCGTCGTTGTTGATGACCATCTCCAGGGCCTCAGCAGACACCTCCCCGCCTCCGGCCCCTCCGCCTTCAGGGCTCTGGCTGGCCAGAACCCTGGCCCGGATCTCCTCCACCAAGTTCTCCATGCAGGCGGTGAGCGAGATGGCCGCGTACTCGTGGATGCGCACGGAGATGCGAGTGTCCACCATCCAGCGAAAAAAGCGGCCCACTGAGAAAGTGAGGCCGCAGCGCGCGGACTTGCCCCGGCGCAGCCCGTCGCCGGCGCTCATGCTGTACAGGGACAGCGCCTTGACGGCGGCCAGCGCGCAGCTCTCGGCCAGCGCCCAGCTGTGCACCAGGCGCACGGCGCTCTGCACCTCGAAGCGGGTGCACTTGGCGTGCAGCACACTCAGGCGCTGCGCCTCGCGGGCCACACGGATCAGTGCCCTGCGGAGCAGCCCCGCCAGGCGCCTCACCGCCTCGGCGGAGAACTGGGGCAGCCTCCTGCTGCCCGCGCCTTTGCGGAGTACCCGGGCCACGTCTCCCTCGGTCCAGGGGAACTCCTCCAGCTCGGGGAGCCGCGGGCAGCGCGAGAAGAGGTCGGCCACTTCGGGGTCCTCGGGCAGCACCGTGTTCACCGTGTCCCAGCTGTTGTGGCGGCTGTTCATGGAGCCGGAGTAGCACCACCAGGCCGCCCCGCGGTGCTGCTGCGCCGAAGAGTTGAGCGCCTGCGAGTTGGACTTGGAGGACGAGAGGCTGAGCGAGCGGCACGAGTCCCCGGCCCCATACCCGGAGTCCAAGGTCAAGTCCTCCAGCGTCTTCAGAGTCGAGCTGTACGTCCCGGCCATGGGGAGCCTGCCGGGGGCGGCGTCGCCGAGCGAGGGGCGCTCACAACTCCATGCCCTCTTCTCCAAGTGGGCAGAAACAGTCTCTAGGCTCTCCGGGCCGCCCTCCTTCCTCTCTGCGCCGCGGGGCTCGGCGTCCGCATTGCCTGCCCGGAGGCCGCGGGAAGGTGGGCGAGATCTGTGGCCAGCCGGAGCCCCACGCGCCCGGCGTCCCAACACGAAGCTGTCACTGGAAAGACCCCCGCCGTTCCCCCTCGGGTCTTCCCCTGTCCGCCTCTAATTCCCGCAAGCAGAGTGTCAGTCCTCCACAGAGAAGGAATCCCGGGAGAACAGGGAGGCGGCGGCGGCGGTGGCAGCAGAAGGAGGGAGGTGGAGGCGCAGGGCGCAGCGCGAGTCCGGGACCAGCCGGCGAGAAAGCGCTCGGCAAACTTCTCTGCGGCGCCGGCCCAAGGCACAGCTGGGTACCCGGGGGCGGCCGACATGCAAATAACCCCGGGTGGCTCACCAATCGGCGGCCGCGATGGGCGGGGATGCACCAATGATCTCCGAGGGGGCGGTCACTATGCAGATTTTACTCTGCCGCGGGTGAAACCCCGAGGCGGCGGAGGCGGGGCTGGAGGCCGAGGGTGGGGCGCACGGCTGGTATGGGGGTGGGGAAGGGAGTGGGGCTGGGGGAGGGGAAAGGGCGAGCCGGCGAACTGGGAGGTGGAGGTGGAGAAGGGAAAGCAGCGGTTGAAACGTTAGCTCCGGAGCTCACAATTTAAAGAAAAATGCAAAGGAAAAGCCACAGTGCGCTGCCACCTTCCCGCCACCCAGGCTTTGGGCGTTCGCTGCTCGCTTTCTAGCCCTCCGCAGCCAGACGTCCCGCGGTGGGGGCCGGGACAATGGGGAGGGCCCCAGCCAGGAGCTCCAGCTCTCCCCAACCTTCGCCAGGCCCCTCCCGCAATCCAAGAGGAAACGCTGGCTGTGTTCGGAGGGAGGAGGGACGTCCCTGCCTCTCTTCCCAAGTTTGTCTGGTTTCTCTGCGCGGCTGTCCAGGCTCCAGTCGGGACAGAATTTCTTCACCTGGGATCTGATTCACGGACGAGTCCCAGGAGGCCTGTGAGGGCTTCCGTCCCACTGTAGTTTCACCTGCAGTTTTCTGAGAATCTCAAGAGGATCCGTGACTTCCCTGTTACCGCTGCGTGAAGATACTACTTGCTGTCAGGTGGATCCTTTTTGTCCGAGGTAGAGAGCGTTCTTACAGGAAGAATGAGAAGGTGGGAGCGCGGTCCCTAGCCCTGGCCTGCTCTCAGAATCGCTAGCTGGGTGCACGTGTTCGCCTCCTAACGCGTGCCGGTGGGCGAGCCGTATGCCTCAGCGGAACCCAGTTTATCCTGGGGTACAATGAGCAGCTCTGGTGCCAACCTGCCTCGGGGTGGGTGTCCCAAGCGGGCCGCCAGAGCGCTGTTGGTTCAGCAGCCGCAGGCCCGGTCCAGGCACGTCCTGCCGCTGCCCTGTGGCTACTCACTCGCACCTGCGCGAACGGACATATGCCCCCACCAGTGGAACCGAAGACTCAAGGAGGGGATTGTGCGTTTGCTCTCCCCAAGTCAGCCTCTCCGACTCCTGAATGGCTCCTTTGTGTTGTATTTTACATAGTTCTGACCTTGGGCCCTGAGTTGGATATGAACTAGAAATGTCTGGTTTGTCTCTTTCCTTAAATTAATGCTTTACCCCCAGTGAAACTGCTTTTTATTTGGCAGTTTCGCTTAATTTTTTTCTTTCTGTGGGTCTTTATTTATGCAATGTCGCCGCCTGATGGTTAGAATTGGGAACAGAGTCAAAGATGGAAGTACTGTAATCTCAAAGACAGAAAAGTTTGCAGAGATCAAATTAACAAAAGAGAACACAGTCACACTTTGCAGACGTGAAATCAGAAGTTAAAGCAGGCGATGAGGTCCAACTTTTCAAAAATACAGAAGCAAATTTTATGCAATTAAAAATTTTATTGGAGAAATATAATATTCAAGGAAATGTCGCCCTCTAATGGATATATTTAAAGGAAATGAATTTCAGAAAGTTTTCCCTGCCCTCCCTTTTCTTCGTTCTGCGCACCCATCAAGCATAAAGAAAATTACTTAACTGGAAATTTACAACGGGGAACTTACTGAATGGAAAGGTTATTTGAGGAAGCATCTGGAGTACTTCTCGGGAAAACAGCATATGTAATTTATATTAATAAATTCAAATTACTTGACGACTTAAAGAGTAGATAATTAAACATGCCTCAAGCTGAATCTCAGAATCCTGTGAATGTTGACCTGCACCACGAAGATATATTCTGCAAAATTCAGCCGTGGGAAATGCTGCTGAACAAACAACTGAGTTTCTTTAATAAATAAGTTGCAACAAAAGAAAGAGGTGGAGAGGAAACCTATACATTTAAAGCGACTTATAAAACATAATAACCAATCACAAGGTGATTGATTTTGTTTTAAAAAGACAATAAACATTTGATATTATGAAACCATTAGAAACACTGCCTTGATGTTTGTGATTACAAAATAACTTTTTTTTTGGATGTGGTAATGGTAGTGTGGTGATGTTTAACAAATGTTCCTATCTTTTAGAGACACATGCTGAAATAAGTGTTTAGCAGCCCTCTGGAGTGGGCTTCTTCAAGGAAAAAAGGAAGAAAAATCCTCATGGAAAAATCTGGCAAAAAGACTAGGAAGTTAGGAAAGACTGTAGATAGATCTCTTGTCTTTCAAATTTTCCCCAGTCTTCTAGACAACCTGAGGACTGGAGGTACAAAGTAAACCCAGAATATGTCTGTGTCTGTGTGACACGGGGAAAAGAACAGGAGGACAGTAGAGAATATACATACATCTTCAGCCACCTTAGAAATGAACCAGTTCTTTGATTTCAGTTAAACGTTTGGGAGTTGGCCAGTGTGGTGAAATACAAAACTTTGGATCAAGAAAAGAAAGGACATGGTTTCTTATATATATGTGCATGTGTTCAATTAAGCCAATCTGCTGGTAATGTGTTTGATTTTAAGAATGCAAATTAAGAGAAAATGTCATCCCAACTCGGGCCTTACCCAAACATTATTTTATTATTATTATTATTTTTTAAAACAGCTGTCATTAAGCTGGACAAGTGGAAAAGAACATAATAGAACACTGGCAAACACTGGGACAATTCCAAGTGAAGTTGGCAATTAAGAAGCAAATCTGGAATTGTCCATGCAAAAATCATATAAGGGAGGTAGCTTGAAATAAACTTTAGAAACTTTACCTGGTGTGAGGTCTTCTAGGTGCTTACACAATCAGAAACCCTCTGGAAATTAGAAGATAAAATACCCTGGAATTTATCTTGAAAGTGAGGGCATTATAATCCCAACTATTTAAGTATAGACAGAACTGTCTTATGAGAAAGGTAGATTATGGCCTTGACTTTGGAGAGTGGCTAAATTTTAATTTAGTTTGTGTATCACCTTCGGTGCATTTGGTATATGTAGATATTTAACTCCCACAGGTTATTTTAATCAACTCTGCTAGTCAGGAGGAAATGCCTTTAAGCAGAGAATTGACGTGTGCCGGCTTGCAGAAATCTGAAATTTATTGGAGAAAACTATAGAGCAGAGAGCATTACTTGCTTGTTTGTTGATTGTCTTTCTGTCCTACAAGAATATAAGCTCCATGAGGGAAGGGATCTTCTCCATTTAGTTCACTTTTGTATCCCATCTGCCTAGGGCAGTGTGAGCATAAAGTAGAAGCTCAATAAATATTGAGTAAGTGAATGAAATAAACTAACTGGATGAATGGGGCAATGTAATGAATGGCTAGGTTTCTTTTTAAACTCTCACAGAACCCGCATGTGCTTAAGACTATGTGTTGGCCAGGCACGGTGGCTCACACTTGTAATCCCAGCACGTTGGGAGGCCAAAGCGGGCAGATCACCTGAGGTTGGGTGTTTGAGACCAGCCTGACCAACATCTGGTCTCTACTAAAAATCCAAAATTAGCCAGGTGTGGTGGCACATGCCTGTAATCCTAGCTATTTGGGAGGCTGAGGCAGGAGAATCACTTGAACCTGGGAGACGGAGGTTGCAGTGAGCTGAGTTCATGCCATTGTACTCCAGTCTGGGCAACAAGAGCTAAACTATGACTCAAAAAAAAAAAAAAAAGACTGTGTTAAGGGAAAAGAATCACTGATGTCTGAACTGAGATTTTTGTGATACCTGCTTCCTCCATAGACTTCAGGATAGCTGTGTGCTCCCCATCCATGTTACTATTATTTTATTGAGACAGAGTCCCACTCTGTCACCCAGACTGGAGTGCAGTTGCACTATCTTGGTTCACTACAACCTCCACTTCCCAGGTTCAAGCGATCCTCCCACGTCAGTCTCCCAAGTAGCAGCATCCACAGGAGTGTGCCACGACTCCTGGCTAATTTTGGATTTTTAGTAGAGATGGGTTTTACCACGTTGGCCAGGCAGGTCTCAAACTCCTGACTTCAGGTGATCTGCCTGCCTCAGCCTCCCAAACTGTTGGAATTACAGGTGTGAGCCACCACGCCCAGACCCCATTCACATTAGAGAGGGGTTTCTAACAACTTGGGGAGGTGGGCTTAGAAAGCCGGGGTGTCTGTGAATCACTTAAAATTGCCTGCAACTTTTTTTTTGAGACAGAATTTCACTCTTGTTGCCCAGGCTACAGTGCAATAGTATGATCTTGGCTCACCACAACCTCTGCCTCCTGGGTTCAAGTGATTCTTCTGCCTCAGCCTCTGAGTAGCTGCAATTACAGGCATGTGCCACCATGCTCAGCTAATCTAATTTTGTATTTTTCAAAGAGAAGGGATTTCTCCATGTTGATCAGCCTGGTCTCGAATTTCTGACCTCAGGTGATCTGCCTGTCTCAGCCTCCCAAAGTGCTGGGATTACAGTCATGAGCCACCGTGCCCGGCCCAATATTTTTAATATAAGAACAAGTTCGCATATTCTGGAGAGAGGGTCTGTGCATCTATGCAGCACTGTTGGATAGAACTTTCTGAGATAAAGAAAAGGTTCCATATCTGTGCTATTCAATACAGAAGCCACTAACCACATGTGTCTGCAACTTGAAATCTAGCTATTGTGACTGAAGAACTGAATCTTACATTTTATTTAATTTTAATTAATTAAATAATTATTTTTGAGATGGGGTGTCTCTGTCACTCACGCTGGAGTGCAGTGGCATGACTTGACTTACTGCAACCTCTGCCTCTCTGGCTCAAGCAGTCCCCCCACCTCAGGTTCCTGAGTAGCTGGGATGACAGGTGCCCACCACCATGACCAGCTAATTCTTTGTAGTTTTGGTAGAGACAGGGTTTCGTCATGTTGCCCAGGCTGGTCTCGAACTCCTGAGGTTAAGTGATTCTTCTGTCTCTGTTTTTAATTTAATTTTAAACTTGAATAGCTACAAG